CTCTTTACACTTTTTCTTCTATGTAACTCCACCCAAAATAAACTAATTCTCACCTTTTTAGTTAAAATAACCATAACCAATTGTATTTTTGTTTGACAAAGTTATTGTAGACATAAATACAAGATAGCCCATTTATATATATATATATATATTTGCAATTGAAGTATGCGCTGAAGATGTTGCCTAGTAGGGCAATGAAAGCTTCGCAGCTTTCAGCTCAGAGAACACAACTACATGAAAATACTTGTGGTTGTACAGTTAAGAAAATGAATTCGCCGTAAAGAGACTCTTCGTTAAACTACTGGTCTTCTCTCAATCTTAAATATACTGTTTTATGATTGGAATAACTTAATACACTAGTTCTTATGATATATATGTGATACACACTGAATTAGCAAAATTTTGATAATATTCACTTTAGTTAAAATTCACTAGTACCCTTTATCACTAACAAATTGTAACAGTTTAATCTTATTGAACAATTGTGAACCATACATACAATTTATTGTGAATTCAAAAGCGTTTTTAATCTAGAATCAACAACACTTGACGTATAAGTATCAGCTCTAATAACCGTTAAAGAATATTTAGTATAACTGATCGTTTCTAAGTAATGTATGCACAATTTATCCTTGACACATTTATTATTCTATATTAGGCTTTAGGAATTATTAATATTTTATTATTATTGTTCTTTTGGGTTCCGAGTGAAGCATATGACTTAAACAACACATCTCCACCTCCTTCTATTTCACGCTGTCCTCTTTAATTGGGACCACAATTGCCCATAATCTCTCATCCCCTTTCTACACGATCTCCTCTATTTCACCTTTGGATCAACGCCTAACTCGTCGCTTCCCATTCGACGACTGATGTCATTTGACGGTCTCCTCATAGTATGCGCAACCCATCTTCACTTTCCTTGGGATGTTTGCAGAGCAGTCAGTTCTTGGCTAGTTTGTTCTCATAGTTTCTTGTTGATAATTCTTTCTGATCATTTGCTCTTCAGTATGGAAAAAGTGAATAGAGCTGTTGACAAAAGTCTGCAGCTAGTAGTTGGGAACGCCTTTCACGACACTCGTATCAAGTTTCAGACCCATAGTGGTGTTGAAAATCTTAATCTTGTCCTTTATTCTAAGTGCGGAAGATTTCCAGCCTGATTTCAGACTGATAAAGGTCTGTCTTGCCTTTCCGATTCCAGCCGGCTTTGATGTCTTCATCCGTTCCGACTGCCTGTCGTTGAAACGATGCTTCCTAAACAAGTGAAGGAAGTAACCTCATTTACATGTCTCTATTTAATTAAGTGTTTTTTTTTAATATTTCAACCAAGTGCACATCTAATCACATATTAAAGCAACGTCTCCAAGTTAGAAATTCATCTTTTAGCTATCATAAAGTAGATGGGTATTCGTTTGTCTGCATAAAAATTGAAAGTAACCCTTGTACCCACTTTATGTTATAACACCGTCCTAATCGTCACTTATTACTTCAGTTCAACTTGAAGAAAACTAAAGCTGTGTGTGAATGTTCAAGTAGCCAAATTTCACACTGCGTTTGTTTTGTTAGTAAATAAATTTATTTGTAAGACAGATTTTTCATTTAAAGTATCTGAAAATAGTAGCAAGTGACTTTATACAGCTGATTGCGTAATCACTTTTGCTTATGCTTGAATTCACTTTTAAATCTGGAAGTATTACTCTCCTTATAAAAATATATATGAATGTCTTCAGCTTGATTGTAATTCTACTATTCTAACTCTTCGAAATGACAGAGAACTAAATGTACTGTTGAAGCCTTATGTGTCAGTCGGAATGCAAGGGATGAATAGTAATAAATAATATAACTTCCTATTCTACTCGCCTAAAATAAAGACGTTATTTCTTTAAAGTGTTTCGTACTGATTAGGGATGATCATCGCAAAATTGGATAAAATTGAAGTGCACTCTCTATCTTGTACATGGTCCAGTTTGTCTAGTGAATAACGCTTGACTGCCTGGTGCATCGGTGATTCAGTGGTAGAAAGATTACCAACAGCATACGTGCCCTTGGATTTCATTTTTCTCACCAACACACTCTTAAATAGAAGGGTCTGTAAAAAAGAAAGGTTAGGATTGAGGATACCAATCCCATCCTGTTAAAAATGAATTCACTGCTACTGGAACTTCAAAGCTGTAGCATGAAGCCCTCTGTTCCACTTCAAACATAAAATAATGAAATAAATATAATCAACTCAACTGGATGTAGCTGATATCCCGTTCACTCTCTTGTGCATAAAAATATATAAAAAGCCTGTTTCCGCACATTTCTAAAATGATAAGAATGCTTAGTTTCTTCAGAAGAGGCAGTAACATGTAAGTCTCCTTTTACTTTGAATCTTTTGTGATCAAAACTTCCAGTTATAATATAAGGAATATAATAAAAAGGTGTTTTACTCCTATACAGAATCAATAGTCTTACGGGTAAGAGAATTCTGCACAAACAAACCTCAACTCTACAGGATCATTAAAAAATAACAGACAGATAAATTGAAATTGCATGGAGGATTTAATCATGAGCTGACATCAGTTAGAGAACCACTGGAAAACCTGGGAGTACTGGACAGCTGTTTCGTCCTGGTTTGGGACTCCTCAGCAGTACGCACCCACCGCGATTCGAACCCTCGACCTTCTGGATACAAGGCGAGCTCGTACACTATTGAGTTACTGGGACCCGATCCAATAGTCCTTGAATTCTAACTTCTGCCAGTTCACGACATAGAGCGACCACTTCGCAATGTCTTCTTCGATGAGTTACTGCCTCATCTTCGACCTGCTGTACCCTACTGGTCACGGCTTCCCACTAGAACCCCAGGTTAACTGCCTGAATAGGGCCAGTCACTAGTGAGCATCAGATGAATTTTCAAGTATTGGTTTTTGTAGGGATTTTGTTTGATTGCATGGAGGATTTAATCATGAGCTGACATCAGCTGAGGTGTACCCTGAATGTTCAATTCTCTTTCACCAACGAAATTTATCGCCAAAAGGATGGTATAGCTATGGGCTCAGCACTAGGCTCATTACTTGCAGATTTCTTCATGGCAAAACTCGAAAACACATGCTTGAAGAAAATGATTGATACCTTCAGAATCTACAAGAGATACGTCGACGACACTTTCATTATCGTCAACAATGAAGAGAATCTAGGCGATATCCTGAAGTTGTTTAACAACTGCCACCCCGCAATTCAGTTCACTCTGGAGAAACAGTCCAACTCCAAAATATCCTTTCTTGTCGTCCAACTAACAAGACGAGAACAGGATGGAACACTGAAAAGATCTATCTACAGAAAATCAACATGGAACGGACAGCTTATTAACTTCCACGGTTGGGTACCCCTATACACCAAACGAAACCTGATCCGTTCACTCAGCTACATAGTTCGCAGAATTTGCACCCCAGACACTGTAGAAGATGAACTGGAAAATCTCAAGAGAATTCTCGTCGAGAATTGTTACCCGAAACGATTTATTGCAAAATCTATGAATCCTAGACCACAAAAGCCACCCATGCTTAGCGTCCTGAAGAAACCACTGTGCATGAACCTTCAATTCAATGGAGATATATCTGTGGAAACACTAAAAAATCAACTGTCACGCTCACTCAAGAAGACCTTCTTCGCAGCTGAACTACGACTAACTTTCTTCACAAAACCTATGATTCATGTGAACGTGAAGGATAAGCTACCACTGTTGGCCTCATCAATGTGTATCTACCAATTCACCTGCTCGTGTGGAGCCAGGTATGTCGGCCGTACCCAGCGTTCGCTTTCCAAGCTTATCACGGAACACTTACCAACATGGTTTTACAAAGGAGAAAAACGATGTTCCCATAGCTCCATCTTAGAACATCTGATAGAATCCGGACACCAAGCTGCACCCCAAACAAACTTCAAAGTAGTCTACGGAGTAAGAAGTAGTTTTCCTAAAGGTGTACGAATCAAACTTCTTTAAATTGCAGAAGCAATGGCAATTCACTTGATAATCCCTGAACTCTGCATACAGAAGAAGTTCGTTCAATCACTACACTTACAATGGACGTAATCTATCTTATTACCTGTAAAGCGAATTCTACCTAATCTTTTTTTGTCTCTGTTTCTTCATTAGTATTATTTTGTCTTCTTAATTGTGATATTTTGCATTTTCAACTCTCTTGCTCTCTACCGCCACCCGATTTAATTTCTACATCTCACTACCACTGTTACTGACCTGACAGATAAATTGTTGAGTAATATTATAGGTATAATACATCCAAATCTATCTACGTAAGACTAGTAAGTAGACATACAAGTACGTCGGTGGCACACCGGTAGAATGATGGAGAAGATTCGTAGCTCAGGTGGATGATTTTTATGTGGTTGTGTTCTCTTAGCTGGATAATTTATTTGCTAGGCTTTTATCGCCCTACTAGGCAACATCTTCAGCGCATACTTCGATTTGAAGTGAGCCTTTAGATTTCTCCCCAAGCTCTCTTCAAATTGAAGTATGCGCTAAAGATGTCACCTAGCAGGGCGTTGAAAGCTTCGGAAATAAACTGTCCAGCTAAGAGAACACAACAGCGGTAGAATGCTTGCTAACCACGCCTGTTGTGGTCAGGGGATCGATCCCGAAGGCTGACTCACTCCTTTACCTGACTAAGCCAGTAATATGACTGATTAAGAAGGAAAGTTGAACATGAGGCCAGCAACCCCATCCTCCAAGAATAAACATCACTGCTACCGAAACTTTAAGCCTCTATCTTAAAGCCTCCTATGTTCCACTGGCAACGCACAGGAATAAAAATAAAATTTAAAAAAAGTCATACAAACTCAAGTGAATGTAATAATTACTTTATATTTCAGACATATCTTGTCATTTACATCACAGTTTACAGCCGAAATCACAACACATAAAAAAACCATACTTTACAATTTAGAAGAAATAAAGAGAATGAAAACTACTCAAAGTTTTATATATATATATATATATATATATATATATATATATATAATGTATGCTCAGAAACACATACATGCATACATGCACATACTACTACTTTTTGAAGTTTATTTAGTGAATTCATTAGAGGAAGGTGGTAAACAATAAGTGTGAAATAGTTTCTAATTGTTTGTGAATAGTCGAATAAGTGTATTTACATAATCTATTGGCTTGTTTGTTTATTTTTAAAAACAGTAATTTCTTGTGGATATCCTAATTAATTAATTTGAATAATCTTCTCCAGAGAAATATGTACAAATCAGTAGGAGACTGAATAAAGGAAACCAGTTGAAGTATATGACCGTTTTACGGTAATTCTGTTTGCTTTGAACTGGAAAATATTTGATGAAAAGTGTAAATAAATTAACAGTATTGTTGTGTATTGTGCCAAATGACCTGATCAATACTTTAGACTAAATTAGGTCTACATGTCAATTCATCAAATATCGATGGTGGTAAATTCCTAAAATTTATTCCTGATGGACTATAGGCTGGTTTACCAACCATTGGTAAAGTGTTAGGATGACTAAATACATTGTTATGTACTTTCACAGCACCGCTTTCAAGGAAATGCGATAAATGAAAATCCCTTGGATCAGAGGATGAAAATATTGACCCAGTAGGCGAACAGTTATTATATAGTGTTAATTTTGTTACTTGCTGTGAAGACATCGATGAGGAGGAGGACGATGAAGATGATGAAGGGAAATAAGTTGGAGGATAAAGTGAATCTGACTTTGGTTCATCACGAATTACTCCAGAATTAGATAAATTCGATGGATGGCATGGAGGGCAGCCAACTGAATTAGACATATAATTAGAAGTAGTGTGTGTATGATTGTGTGGAAAATGAAGTAAGCTTTCATTCTGGAAAGGTACTACATCACTGTTCAATAAATGGGCTGTTGAACCTGGAGCAAGTGAATCATTTGAAGAAGGTTGAAGTTGTTGAGGTAATGAATAACTTCCTGGTAGACTAGGGAGTGGACCTGGTAAATTAAATGGAACACCTGATGCAACTGCAGCGGCTGAGACAATGGTATTGTAAATATCCTAAAATAAAGTCAAAACATAAGTAAGATATGCAACACAGTCGACTTTTAATGCTGTGTTTGCACGAAACGTAATAAGTAAGCCGCTAAGTTTGACTTCGTCAAAACATGTTTTCACATGAAATATTTGTATATCATGAAGTATAAATATACTGTACAGTTAAATCACAACTCTCTTTAATATAGGTTAAAAAGGCAAACTCCGATTACCGCAAATCATGCTAAGGAAAACTGATTCATTCTGGACAGATTAACACTTTTTTATACTTAGGTCGAAGAGGTTATTATCAACAAATAGCTGCATTTTGAATGTCAAAGGATAGGAAGCCTTGTTGGTCTTAGATTTTGTTATCTTCGTCACTCATGATCAAGGCAGTTTTCAGTCAACTCATGTTCTATTAGAAATTCCAGCTTACTTCAATCACTTCAGAAAGCAGTCTGGTCAAAATGAAGAGATGATCAGCATAACCTAACCGGTGAACAACAACAACGAGTGTAGGACATTAATAGGAATACATTGAGGTACAGTGTAATTTCAAATTCTCCGAACACAACAGATGACAGAAAATCAAGCACACTTTGTGACAGAAGAATTTTAAGGTCTTTAAGAAAGTACTTAGCCTGAATAAGAAAAAAAATTTGCCAAACCTCAATAAAAATGCTTAGTTTGAAACCAAAGAGCAAAGTTCAGCCTCTTTGTTTAAGTGAAAAGGAGTTGCAGCTGAAGTTTTTACATCTGTACGACAGTCAAACAAGCGAAGTCTAAACTACATAAATTCAAAGTTGGCAAACAAGAACGATACTAGGACCACGGAGAAAGGATGGAAAATATGAGACCTAGTGAAGAAGAAAAGCATCTGAATTCAGGTCAACTCAAATTCTGATGTATACACAAATCAAGATGTCCCTCCTGAAAGACCAATGAAGACAGTGTATAGATTGATTTGGTATTAGATAGTTGGAGGCAATCGGAAGGAAGCCGTGCTTGAACTAAGTTTCGTGCCAGTTGGCGCTCAACAGTCATAAAGGCGTATCTACAACCTTGAAGGAGCTCAGGTGCCTTCTGAGATTCAAACCCAAGTCACCACTGAGCTGTTCGGGCTCGTGAATGACCTTATGTATTGCATACTTTTGATTGACACTGGTCACCAACTAGTGTTATGTGTCTAGTTCTCTGTTTGGTGCAGACTGAATTCTATCAGTCTGGTTTGCAATGTGTCCACCATTCTAGTTGGCTCTCCGTCGGTGGTGATTCCCCAGTTGAAAGATGAAGTACCTAGACTAGCTTCTTCTAATTGTATCCACCAGTTCAACTGCGCTCATCGTGGAGCGAGTTATATTATGCATTGCTATAGGAACTTGATTTTTCGTGCTCATTCGGGAAAATCTACCAGTGTGGTTAAAAAAGGTGTTGTGAGAAGCATCAATAAATCCATATTAGAACACCTGGTCCAAACCGGCCACAAAGTCAGCAATGAAGAATCCTTTTGTATCATCTATCGGGTACCAAATAAATTCCCAAAAACATGCAGATGGCGCATACTCCAAACGGTAGAGGTTATCGCGATTTTCCTGAAATAACCGGTTCTCTGTGTGGGGAAGTAGCAGGTAGAGCCACTACTACTGCCCTGGCTGGTCTTCAGTGGAGACTACAAATTCATGATTTTATATTATTATTTTCCTAATTTGCCTGTTTGATATTCAGTGTAGTGTTATGTTGATGCTATTGAACTGTAATCCACTGATATTATTATCATTGATTCGATGTTATTTAAACAACAACATTAATGTTGTTAATAACACTAATTCATTCACTATTATGTGTATATATAACTGTAGAACCTGATGAATAAGGGGTTATCGTGGAGAATATTCTTTGTTCAATAACAACAATTCTTTTGAATATTTTCCTCTTCTCTAAAAGAAGAGATGTTCAACAGACTGCTACAGACTGATTTCTATAAGTCAAATTTGGAATATGTTCACCATTCTAGGTGGTTCACCATCACGGTAGACTTTTAATTGTGGATATTATATGGTTGGTTAGTTGATTGAAAAAGTTTCAGCCAAAAGAGATAGCTAATCCTAAAGATGGCTGTCTTGTTTCCCATTTCACATCCATTGTCTAAGAGACAAAACTGTCATAAATGACAACGGTTTCCATAACAACAACAAAGAAACACCTTAATTAGAAAGTTTTCATGCTTTTGAAGAGTACTTTCCATCGCTCACTAGTAAGGTTTACTTTTGTGAACTGTGAATTGTTGAAAATTTCACTCACGCAACTTGACGCTTACTGATGATCAAAAAAGAAGTCAGGAGAAATAAACCTGTTTAGGGATTTGGTTTCATAGTTGTTTTTTTGTTGTTGACAAAACTATGTTTGTCCCTTAGCTAAGACCGTTTAAATTTCTTCATTTCTTCATTTTTCTCCACAAATAACAACCCGTCGTGTTCATCTGATGAAGGTATGTGACAGGGTAAAGCAATAAGATAATTTTATCTGTATAAATAAATAATACTTACTGGACTAGATCCAACCAAGTACTCATGATACGCTGGATTGTTCATCAAGTCAACTGGACCTCCTGAGCTGAAATCATTAGGTAGTATACCTGATCTTATTCCACGCAGTCGTCTAGGATTCCTGTAGAATGATCTACGTGTTCCAAGAGCATTCAGTTGTTTCATACGTCGTTCTTTGCTACGACGATTTTGAAACCAAACCTAAAAAGGGATATTTTATGGAAAAAAAATAAGTACAAACTTTATAATTAAATCAATCACTGAAAATCTCAAAATATTCCGATTTTACTTTTTTAATAGATGGACTTAAAATATTTTATCCTATACATGAAACTCATTATAATACTTGCTAACTCATCAAAGTTTATTAACAGTCACGTGAATTTGTTCTTTAAAGGAAAAAGTATTCAAAATAAAACTTTTAGTTAATCAAATGTTTTACTTGATGACCATAAACACAACACATTTTACTACTAATCATTTCATGACTCTGGCCAGAAGTGCCTTTATTTCAGCGCAGTCAAAAGTCAGAGGATATCCTTCTTGTGTTAACTCAAACTGTATAAACAAATTTACGTGTATCGGCCGGAGCAGTTACATTGGGAGAACAGAAAGAAGGGCACACCTCCAGTTTTCTGGACATGTAACGATTAGCCTACGTCTGAAGGGAACAAATGCTCACAATAATGCCATTGCTAGACATTTCCTTCATTCGGATCATGAGGTGGAAATCACAAAATCCTTTAAAATTATCAACAGATAAAAAAGTTGAACTCTCCTGAAGTTTATCGAAAACAATCTCTATCAGATGCCTGGAACCCGATCCATGTGTTCAGAAAGGAGTAGTTATCAGTCTTTCTTTGCCCATCCTGGTAACTGGATGTCTTTATTCTCTCTACCATTTGGTTATATAATCTTTGGCTTTAACCTCAACCCCTTTGATATATTGTAAGTTTTCTCGTCTCTTGTTTCTATGATTTGAGTTGAATTTATCATCCTAAGGATTTCTTGTCATTGTTGCGTAGCTCCTTTACCATTGTATGCAAACATTTACTTTGTTTAAACTTGAACTCATTGTGCAAAAACTATATAAGCGTAATTTTCGGAGCACAGTAAGCCAATTTTGGAAACTCCTGTCTACTAACCTCAAGTAAAGTCTGTAAAATTTGCAAGTATGTTAAAACTTTTCTGTACATGAACCTATGAATCTGTTTAGGCTGTAAACTGCTGATGATAAATCAACAAAATAAATGATGGTGCCATATTATTCTGCAAAAACTGTTGTTCTTGCTTTATTCAAATTCATTAAAGGGAAATGAATGTATTTTTAGAAATCTCACATGAGTTTTTTAAGTGTTTGGAAATGAATCATTAAAGATCTCTCTTACTAGATGATTGAAAGCAATCAGCAGCAGACGAAGGACTAAAAGCCTGACACTAGTTAGTGTCCAATTAAAAATACCCAATACAGTCCTACAGGAGGTGAATCGCGAACCCGAATAGCTCAGTGGTAACGTCTCTGACTGCAGCACTGTGTGACAAGAGATCAAACATCAGAAGAGACATGAGTTCCTTCAAGGTTTCGGATATACCTTACCGAGACTAGTGAGTGTCGACCAGCACGAAACCTAGTTCAAGGACGGCTTCCTTCCGATTTCCACCAACCACCTCATGAAAGCAATTTAGACTGCACCATCATGGTGAGCCACTTAGCATGGTGGCTACATCGCAGACTTGACTGTTAGAATTCAGTCTGCAGTAAACAAAGTACTAGACACATGACATTATTTAGTGTTCAACTAAAGATCCCTTTTATAAATCAAAACAGGAAAGTCCTAAGTTCATTTGAGTCATCCCTTAGAATCCTGTATATGTTACATTGTGTTATTAAGAATTAGTATGAATTTCTGTTGAAAAGTCATAACGTACGAAAGTGAATATAATTAAATAATAATGATTATTAACCATAAGCAAAAGAATAATTTCTCAGATTCCACCATTAGCTTGCGACAAATATAATCCTTTTAAGCAATTTAACAAAGATACTAGCTTCTAAGAGTTATTTTGTAGGAGTCGGATTTGTGTCAAGTTTGACCACAAGCTGAAATCAGTTACAGAACCATTGGAAAACAAACATGGAGTACTGGACAGTCAGTTGTTTCGTCAGCCTAGTTTGGGACTCTTCATCAGGGTGTACCCACCACAGGAGGTTTGAACTAAGGTCCTTCCAGTTACAAGACCAGAGAGCTCTTCGACTATTCAGAGCCACTGGGACCCATCGATCTAATGACCAGCCCATGAATTCTAACTTCTGTCAATTAACGATATAGTGCGACCACTTCGCAATGTCTCCTTCGATGAGTTACTGCTTCACCTTCGACCTGATGTACCTACCCTTCTGGTCACGACTTCCCACCAGAAGCCCAGGCAACTACTTGAATAGGGCCAATAGCTAATGAGCATCAGATCAATTTTCAAGGATTGGTTTTGTAGGAATCTAATTGATTGGTTACAGGATTTCATCACTTTTCATCACAGTGCTCACTAGCGACTGGCCCTATTCAAGCAGTTGCCTGGGGTTCTAGTGGACACTGTTGACCAGTAGGGTACGTCAGGTCGAAGGTGAGGCAGTAACTCATCGAAAACGACATTGCGAAGTGGTCGCGCTATATCATGAATTGGCAGAAGTTAGAATTCATGGGCTGACCATTGGATCGGTGGGTCCCAGTGGCTCTGAATAGTCAAAGAGCTCCCTGGTCTTGTAACCGGAAGATTTTTAGTTCGAATCTCCTGTGGTGGTTGCATACTGATGAAGAGTCCCGAACTAGGCTGACGAAACAACTGGCTGTCCAGTACGAAACGAATACTTAAAAACTTGTTCTCTCATATCACTTCTAAAATACGCTTAATTTTGTCTTTGAAAAGTAACAGGGGACAGTGACTATAGTGTGATTTTATTTCTAAGCTGACTAGTATGACAGTCAACTGTCATCATCATCTTCTTCTTCTTTACCATTTAGAAATAATTCATTGTAAGGAAACAAATAATCTCACGATCTGAAAATATCCTTCTAGTAAATATCAAACTATTGAAAGTAGGAACATACATATTTTTGCAAGTCGACTGTTTTATGACTTATTCCTGTTTCTGTTTCACCACTGACATGTATGCACATTGAAGATTAATTATTTTATTTTAAATTCAATTTTCCCACTAATATTGAAATTTGTCTAATAAACAAACACAATTCTTTTCCTCAGTTTTTTAAATATACTAAACTGAATTCTTTGGTGCCTTTTTATTCCTTTAAAAAGTCTTCACTTTTACTGAATATTTCAAAAAGAAGAGAAACTTTTTTGTAAAAAAACAACCTAAAATTAACATCCATCAGTTTTTATGAATTTAGAATCGGCCATTCAGAAAACACGTAAAAAGTAATTTATCATCAGATTTAACTTGATATGTTTTGGTGTATAGTATAGAGTTAGTGACGTGATGAGAAAGAGGGTATTTTTAACCTGCTGATAAGTATTGCACGGAAATTGAGCTTAGAAATAGGTTTGTTATTCAGCAGCTGCTTTGTCCTATTTTGGGACTCTTCAGCGGTACGTACTCCACTGGGGTTCGAACCCGGGACCTTCCAGGGACTAGGAGAGCTCGTAGACCATTAAGCCACAGGGACAAGATCCAACGGTACATGAATTCCAAATTCTGCCAATTCGTGATATATATATATATATATATAAAGTGCAACCGTTGGCCAGTGCCACGGGCGAGTAACTGTCTCCTTGCCTGACCTGGTAGACCCCTCTGGTTACGACTTATCACTAGAACCCCAAGTACTTCCTGTGTAGGGCCAGTCGCCAGTGAGCATCAGATTAATTATCAAGTGTTGGTTTGCGAGGATTTGATTGGTTACAGGGTTGATCACTGCTGTCTAGCACTCGCAGGTTTTCCAATGGTTTTCTAACTGATTTCAGCTAGTGATGGACTACTGAGTCGGGTCTCAATGGCTTAGTGTTCCGCGAACTCGCCCCATAACTGGAAGGTCCTAGGTTCGGACTGCTTTGGTTGACTACTACTACAAACTAGGTTGGCGAAAAAGTTGTCCACTACTCCCTGAAGGTTTTCCAATGATTCTCTAACTAATATCAACCCGTGATCAATCCTGTAACCAGACAAATTCCTGCAAACCAACACTCAATATTTGTTATTACAAGTTGGTGGAAGTTATGCAAGTGGCTGACATCAACAAAAGAAGTACTGAATAAAAATAAAATACATTATTGCTAATTTATTTCCAGATGATTCACTTAAAGTTATTATGAGTCATGAACACTGGATTCGAAGAAGTCTTACATAAAAACAGCCACTTACTAACGACACTGAATGACCACTAGACTGTAATCTAAATCTGAGAAAGTTATAAATTATATAGGCCAATTGATTCTATCTGAATAGCTAAACACCAGACGACACATTTTACAAACTAATATTCCTGTGGTCATTGTTACGCAATAATATATTTTCAAGTATTGGTTTTGTAGGGATTTTGTTTGATTGCTGAAGAGTCCCAAACTAGGACGAAACAGCTGTCCAGTACTCCCAGGTTTTCCAGTGGTTCTCTAACTGATGTCAGCTCATGATTAAATTCTCCATGCAATAATATATCACTGATTAATAGTTTCCACTAGTTCTGTGTCTGTCTGATGTTGATTCATGAAGAATTACTGTGAAATATTCTGTGACAGGCTAAAACCTCAAACTAAGAAAACTTATAACACTCCGCAAATAAGCATATCTTCTGCAGAAAATTAATCTAATACTCACTGGGGACTGGCTAACGGACGAAGTTGCCTGGAGTCCTACTGAGAAGTCGGAAACAGTGGAGCCCACAAGGTCAGGTGTGAGGATAAGTGTGTACTGATGACGGTGGCTAGTAGTGGCTCGAAAAAATCATGAGCTAACAGAAGTTAAAGTTTAATGGACCTTAAGCAACAGCAGAAGTATTTACTAATTCAATTAACAAGTATACCTAAGTATCTCCCAAATCAGGAAATCGCAAGAGTATTCTGCTGATAAAATTTATAATTCCAAAAAATAACCCAACAGTTAAACATTTCGAGTTAAATCATGATCTGATATCAGTTAAAGCATCATTGAAATCCATGGAGTACTGAACAACTGTTTCGTCCCTGCT